ACTGAGTTTGAGATGAGCAGTCTGTTAGAGTGGCTATGGATCGTTGTTATATTTAAAAGATCCGTTTAAATGATAATTAATAGAATGTAATCAACATCAATGTATGATAAATAGAAGAAAATAATCGTAAGTAATAACATCTTTTTATTAGTCGCAGTTAACAGATTTTGATTTAACGTACATACAAATTATATATATATATATATATATATATATATATATATATATGAGATCGCCTGGCCTGAAGATTATGGTCAAGTATGAAACAGACTGTTGCTACTCGGTGCTGACCTCAGAGTCCACTCATATTAACACACGCTCTCCCCCTCCCCCTCTCTCTCTCTCTCTCTATATATATATATATATATATATGTGTGTGTGTTTTCTGTATTCGGCTCGAACATCATTATATTATTTTCAGCTTCTTTAGTTTCATTTTAACACTTCATCTTTCTTACAACCACAATAAGGTTAATATCTGGGTTGAATTTGCGGAGTTTCTTTCCTTTTAATGCAGATAACTTCGCCCCCCCCCCCCATACCACTACTCGGGCTGTCTGTCCTGACGAGGTTTCGATATGGGTAGGCTCTGTTTCAATTTCTCAACTGATGTCTAAGTGAAATATTAAATCTCTAGTTATGACACGAATATAGTCCATTTGTCTGGACTGAATAAGATTGACGTACACGGCGTCAGTTGAAACAGACTATACCCATGAGTTAATTTTGGATTTCTCTGTTGTATAATATATACGCTCTGTTATAGCTATTTTCAAAGCGTAGCTCAGATGCGGCACAAGGCCAAATTTATGGGGTACCCAGTGAGGGTCGAACTCACTATTCAGTCGTAATTTAGTTCTAGCGAGACAAGCTCGCTAACCATTACACCGCCTCGGGGTGCCCAATACGCTCTGTTATAATAAATACACTGACCTCTTTTTGTGGATCAGTTTTAATATTTTATATTATTAGGACCCACTTGGATTATATACCAACGGATTTATCTACCTGTACTATATATATATATATATATATATATATATATATATATATATATATATATATATCATATTTCCTGGAGATGATGGTAAAAATGAAACATATTCTGAAGATCATATGGAAGTGATGGTAATCCATCAGTGTTGATCCTATTCTCTACATTATATATATCTACCGTGAAACATTACATACTAATTATTTGTGAATTTTGACTCAGGAACTCGGGCAGAAGGGTTAAAATTGTTCAGGAACGCAGGGCTCAAAGGGTTAAGAAATTAAAATTAAATAAAAGAGGGCAAAATGAAGAAAGGATTGCGAATGCGATAAATGATAAAAAGAATAGATAGCAGAAGGAAAGGGAACGGAAAACTCGTAATAGCAAATATGGGTTATATTTACAAAAGCTAACATTCCGTTAAGGAGCGAGCTCACAGATCACTATAACTATCGGCATGACCAGCTTGATAATCCCTACCAGAAAGCGAATTGTCTCTGAATCATATTCGGTTGGTGCATTATCAGGTGTTTTTTTAGGCGAGTTGTTTGTTAATAAAAAGTGCTGTTTTGTTTAATTTTTTCTTAAATAAAAATATTATTTTCAGCTCATAAAAATGCGTGTCGATAATCATACGCTCCGGGATAATCATTTAAAAGTGTTATTGCTGAATTGTTATATTTCATTTTTTATAATTAATATTATTTAAAAGAACGCCTGCTACAACTACGCTAATCTTATGCATTGTAAAAAACAGAGGCAACATAAAAAACAAAAACAAAAAAAACATCCAGTTTCTTTTTATTTAAAAAAAAAGAAGCGTTTCACCCCAAGCAAGGCGGGAAGCCACTAGCACGCAAGGGGTTACAGAGAGTTGGAGCTAGAGCAAAGAGGAGTGATAGAGGAAAGGATGAAGAGAAGGATAGGGGATAGATCAGGGCATCTGGAGACGTCGATTGACATTACATTTGAAACAGGAAAAGGGAAGGGAGTTCCACAGGCGAGAGGTGCGAGACATGAAGCTATTGGAGGAGAAGAGACGATTACATTTAATAGTTTCGACAGTGAAAGGGTGTGAGTGAGATGCCAGCCTAGTAGAACGCTTAAATTCATGAAGTTTGGGAAACAGCGAAAGCAGCTCATCGGAGCAGTTACCATGAAAGTATTTGTAAAAAAGACAGAGGTTGGAGCTTTCTGGATAAATGATATCCATATTTTTGGCCTGAACATCTTTGTGGGCTGAAAGAGGACGACACCATTACTGACAAAATAATAAAATTCACTAGTGAAAAAAAAAAATGTATTTTTCTGAATGTCGGTTTTTTCTTTTAGTCTTTTCTATTTAACCATGAACGTGAAATATTATCTAGTCTCTATGTTTTTTAGTCAAACTACTACCTGATCTTCTCTTCTTAGTAATGAAATATTCAGTTATTATGGTATGTTCGGCTCGAAGGTGATATTATTCAGTGCAGTAAGTATATATTGAGAGTAAGTAAATACATT